TCATGACCAAAGAACAAGCCTTCTCCTCCAGGTCTGGTTTGCAAATATGAGAAAGGTTGGGGAAAAATGAAAAATAATAAAAAAAAAAAGGTGAAATATTTTCTTTGAGAATAAACAATAAAATATCGTCAGGCTACTGTTTAAAATCTTATTACTTTTGCTGTGCTTCAGTACTTCACAATTTTCTCTAAATAATAAGCATTTCAAATGGAATCACATTATTTTAAAACACACTGTAGTAGGCAATTACAATTCCTGAATACTAAATACCAATATAACGTAGGCCAAATTTATTGTTGTTCCTTAACTTTGCACCATGTTCATTATACTTTAATGAATAAATAATTTTTCAAGTCTTTTCCTTGGAATCACGTATTACCTCTGTAATTGCATTACAGAATTAGGTCTCTATTTACATTCTCCTTCTGAGTCCTACAGATAAAACCTTGCTTTAATTTCCTCTAAGTCAGCAATGTTATTTCAACATCTCATTTATTACCCTAACTTAAAGATATGTCAACGCACTAGCAATATGTGAAATGCTAATATCACTTAAGTTATTAACATGATACTAAATATTAATTAGACAAAACAGATGCAAGTGCCTTACGACTCATTTCTTAATTCCAGATATATTTGTTGTTACTCAAAGCAAACAGTTTAGCCTTATTTAGTTCACGAACACACACGGTGCTTTTCTGCCCATCCGCATCTCTCCGCTGCTTCTTCCCGCTGTGTTGCCGCCAGCAGAGCAGCATGGAATTTCTCCCAGGGCATCGCTGGAGAGTCGGTCTGGGAATGCCAGGAAGGTGCTGGCTAGGGCAGGGACATCCTGGTGACAACAGCATCCTCCTGGGAAAGGCCAGTTGTGCCCGCCCTGCCACCAAGAGCTTTCACTGCTGCTTGGGCCACCCTGTACCAGCGGCAGCAGCACGAGCAGCTCTGCGGGGGCATCCAGCCCGCCCGCATTAACGTGCACAGTAGAGCAGTTTCATTACTGCTGCTTCGAGAGCTATTGAAGTTTAAAATTACCACAGCCGTGTCACCTAGAGTGTAGCGATCCCTCGGATTGCAGCGCGCCTGCATCCCTATAGCTGCAGTTCGCTAAGGTAATATCTGCTTTTGCTATTGGCAGTCCACACAGCTGTGAGCTTCAGGTAGCGCTGCTAAAGGCCACAATGAAGGGCACGATTCAAGATTACATTGGTTGATTTGCCAACTTTATTCAACGTGGAGTCAGTGGAGAGATAAACAAGCCGCTCAGTTACTCCAACAAAGTCCTCAAAAAACACTTACACAAGGAGTATTCTTCTAGATAGAAGGAATTCCACAGCAGCATGACAGCAGATAAGGTTCCTGTCTGTCACTATGAACATTTTTCATAATACTTAAAATAACGACACAGCTAAGCCAAGTCACACAAGGACTTTTTTCCCATAAATCTTCAGCCCTCCCAGAAATACCCAGCTGTCTCCAGCTATATCTATGGAGAAGAGTGAAATCTGCGGGGAAGTGAAAATAAGCCTTTTAGTATACCAAAATCATCAATGTCCCCAGAATGTCTAAAATGGGGGTAGAAGCTATGAAATCCCTTCCTTATGGGATTTGCTGATGCCCCCTCAGTTAAAGCAGGGGGGATTCAATTCAATGTGGGCAATGCTGTCGTGGGGCTGAGGCCATCCTCCCTCCGAACAGCCTGTTCTGCCTGCCAGCAGTTAAAACTTACAGTCTGCTTAAATCTCTTTAAAATCTGCAGCTGAGCTTGGGAGGAGGCCAAACGCCCAGCTTTCCCTTGCTCGGAGGGAGGCACAGGTCTGCAGTTGACTTGCTTCTTAGAAAAGATGGGCAAGACCCACCTGGACCAAGGACTGACCCTGCGCCAGGGGGTCTCTGGCCTGCCTGAAGCCACCAGTGGACACCAGCCCCTTGGGGCGTAATGACCAAACACAGGAGAAGGTCTCCTGTGCAGCACCACCCCACACTAAGAACCTGTCCCCGGCCACAGAGGGAGCAGATGAAGAGAAGCTGAAGACACAACAAACAACATGCAACACTTTTCACTTAGGATAAACTGCCCCATCTTCCACCTGGTACAGACACAAAGATCCTTGAGAAACTAAGAAGATTTAAACAGAAATACAACTGCTGGCCAGTGAACAGGCTCAGTTTGCCAGCTGTCATCTTCCAGGAGATAGATTTCATCTCCCGCTCTGAAAGTTTCTACCAGCTTGGCAGCTGGTCACACTGCTATGCATGAGGATCCTGGGCAGAACTGAGAGCAAGGGAAGTCCTTCCCCTGCATATGTGTATTTTGTTATTCAAATTATTCTGCATACTTACAATACTTTAATTATTAATGTTGATAAACTAGAAAATCTCATTCAATTAGAATTGCCTCCTCTTTTTTTTCTCTCCTTCCTCCAAGATAAAATTAAATTGCTTTATTGCAAGATCACTCTTTGCCCTTGTTTTTTTTTTTTTTTTGGTGCATTTAAAAAGAACACAGAAATTAAGTTCTGGCTCCTGTGCTCCTGCGGGCTGGTGTGACATTGCAGGCACACAGGCATGGAGCGCCTGCTCTGCCGCTCTTGCAGGCCAGCCTTTTGTCCTTGCTGCTCCCTCCTGCCTTCCATCTCCTCACCTTCACAAGCAACATCTTCCAATTCCCCCTTACTTCAGAGACTGTCCTCCTCCTCCCCTACTTTATTCCAGGGTTCTGAGTGCATCTTTTGCTCCTTTCCCAGGAGAGCAGGGGCTTTTACCTACACAATCCTCCTTCACTTATATTCCACTTCATTTTTTTCATGCTAGAATTTGCTATATCCTCGTCTCTCTCCATATTGTCAGTTCTGATGATCTCCATTCTCCCTGCAACACCAGGGCAATGATAAATCCTTATTCATCCCTTCCACCAATGCATCTGAATCTCCAGGTGTTACCCCACTAGCTCAATGTTGCTTCCCCCACACTACAGTTTCCCCTTTCTCCCTCCATGTTAGAGGCTCGATGAAATCTCCAGATTACAACCTGTTATAATTGTAGAGACACATACTGTAAAGCTGAACACACTGCAAACCTCTTCGCACCCCCTTGCTTTCCTTCCATCTCACAGTTTCCCCTTAAATAAGCACAGTTCTGCTTACTGAGATTTGACATTTTCAAGTGAATTTGGAGCTCTGCACCAACATTATCCCGAAGCCTTGCAAGCTTTGCCAATTACCGCTGCTCCTAATGCTCCTTCCATGACATGCATCTGCTTGCCGTGGACGGGGAGGCATCCCCAGCTGCTGTCCACGGGGCTTTTGGAGTGCCAGCAGCGGGCCAGCAGTGCCAAACTCTCCCTGACGTCTGCACGTAACTCCCCCGAGAAGCTCTTTTCTGCAGGTTACCACCCTGAAGAACGTTTTGCTTGTGTTTGCAGTCAACAGACATACACAGAGCAAAGCTTTTTACCCGAGCGCTTGAATCTGAGACAGGACTGAGAGATGTTAAATTTCTCCAAGTTCCACAAAGTAAAAATAAAAAGCTGGGGGAGAATGAAACAGTCTGGCTTTTTGGGTAGAGTACAGAGGTTCAGAGAGAAAAACATCAAAAATGGAGAAAAAAAAAAAAAGGAACTACCCATAAATTACTTATTAAAATGCAGCCATATGTACTTTAAGAAAGAGACATGCATAATTCATAATTTAGTCAGCACATGGAAAGTCTGTTGTATATTTTATACTCATGAAATAAATAAGCATAAATTACTTGATTTGATTACTTGAATAACATCAAACATAACTGATTCTAGAGATGGAGCAACAATTCACACTAAGGCAAGCACTCTTGGTTTGTTGATGTTTCACCAAAATAGAGAAGAATCAGCAAGTTGAAAACAGAAATTCGTATTGTTGGCTTGCAAACAAACACTAGAGCTCTCAGCATATAAACTGAAACTGGGTGACATAACGAAGCTACAGAGGAGACTTCTGTTGCTATGTAAAATTCTAGGAAAACGAACACGAGTTGCCTGTGCATGTTCTTTGTGATGCTGGTAGAACAGATGCTGATACTAAGAACCTCCTGTAAGCTTGGCTGCCTGTATTTTCTTATATTTGATATTTTCCAGTTCCCTGACCCCTATCAAAATGTTCAGAAAAAAAAAACTTTTTTTCTGAACATTTTGGTTTTCTCACCCATAACCTCATATCTCTAACTACACTGTAAATATGCAATGATATGGTTTCTGACTTAATAAGGCATTTTCAGTGTCTTTATCTCTATATTCCACAGACTTCACATGATATTTGTCTCCTACAAATATGACACCTAGGTAGCACTCAGACACCTGTAAATAATTTATTTGTGCTGCAATCAAAGTTTCAGCTTTTGACAGATACCAGAACTTATCACATCTCTCAGAAGCAGTTTTGATCAATAACAAATATTTTATCCTCCAGGCACTTATTCCTCTGGTACAGGTTTAATTTGTGGTTCTCTTCCCTGCTGAAATTGGGGAAGGAAAGTTAGAGTGAAAAACCCCCTGTAACATGGACGGGACCAGCCCTGCTTCAGATTTATGACTACTTCGTTGATTTATAGCAAACTTCAGCCTCAGAATGGTATCCAAGAGAAATGAAAGACAGGACACTGCTCTTACAGATATTTGCAAGCTTGGCCAATCTCTGAGGTGCTTTCAGGCAAGGAAAGATGACATTTTTCACCTTTGAAAATGGGAGTAGTGTGTGCAAACCAGCCATACCAATTTCTGCGCTAGCCCTTCTTCCTCCCAGGTCTTTGCTTTCGGCTTCCAAAGTGGCCATGGAGCGCTAAGATAACTGTCTTTCCCAGAGCCTTCTTCAATATCACACATATCCCCTTGGCCCTCTCCTGCAGCAGCAGGCATTGGTGGTGGTGGGTTGGTGGTGGTGGGTGGTTTTTTTTGTTTGTTTGTTTGTTTGTTTTTACTTATAGGAAACCCTGCCCACCTTAGGAAGGCCCTTGGCCCTTGTACTTACTGAGCTCAGCAATGCTCCCCACGCGCGTAGCCAGCAGGGACTGCTCGATGGTCCTTAGCTCCGACTGGCTGAACATCTGCACTTCCCCAGGCTTGTTTGACCTCGGCTGGTCTTTGTGGAGGTTCAGGCTGTCCGGCAGGCAGAGAACACCTGTAGAAAATTAAACAAAAATAAAGAATTCAGGCACTATAACTTCAGTTGCTACGGATGGCTTTGCTGCTACTGCTGCATCTTTCTGGGGATGTTCCAAGCTCTGGTACTACACAGCTCAAAAGATAGTAAACATTTCTAATTCACTATCGCAGATGAGTCATGCTCACAGACATGCCCCTCATTAACTTTTCTGAATATCCTCGAGTCACTTATGATGGCACCTAGGGATAATTCTTACAGAAAGTCCCACCGACGTGCTCAGAGATGAAGTCAACAGGGTTCCAAAGAAAACCCCTAGAAATTACTCTAAAACCACACTAATTTAATAGAAAATGGTATCTCGGCAACAGAATTATTATAGATTGGTTTTAAAATGAGAAGGCTGTTACATTTACAGGTTTTCCCCGCGAGGAGAATCCCACTGACAATTGCCCAAATAACGGCGCGGCTCAGACGCTCCAGTGCCACTGATGAGTTTATTGAATTTCTTTTGCAACGGCGGCTCCTGGCAATTGAACTGCTTCAGCTCCAGTGGCCCACGATGCAGAGGCCTCCACAGTAGCGAATTTTGGGGGTAGAGGGTATAAATAAGGCATGGACCGGGCAGAGACTGATTCATGTAGACATGCACTCAGGCACACAAGTCACTCTCTGCCACAGCAGTGAAACCCTCAAGCACGCACGGGCACAAGTTTATTAACCCAAACCAGCGCTGTGCTACAAAACTGAACTTTATTTGCAACAGTGAAGGCCTCAGTATGGCCCTTGGTTAACAGCTGCATGAATGTGCAGCTAGGGCAGTGATCCCAGGTCCGCTGCCCCTATCACCTTCCAAGGCCCACCAGGGATGTACGCAGGTGCGGAGCCATGCGAGCCAGGGGAATCATGCCTGTCAACAGCAGCAAAATGGGATCCTGTACCTGGCTGTGCGATTCCTAACAATCAGCTTTGGTGCTTCTGTCAAAAATAGCCAGACCAGGAAAAAATGAACTTTCAGTAGTCTCTTTTAGGCACCACGGAGAGGTTCTGCACTGACAGTTCTGCACTGACAGTGTCCTTATGACCAGACTTACTAAAATACATTAGGAAAGTGATATCTTTCCATGTATTTAGCTTTTTTTTCTTCTTCTTCTTCTCCTTTCCCCCGCCCTCCCCTCCGAGTTCATTTAGTTTCCCAGCTTGGCACATAAGTGGCCTCTAACTCTACTCAGTAATTCTGCCAAAAGTTTTAATGTAGGAGGTGCCCCGCAGAAAGCCTCACACCCCAACCTGTTGTGTTACCAAACAACTGTCCAAGTGCCCCTGCCTGGACATTTCTCAGATGCCTGCTTAGTCCCATCAACTTGCCCCTTGATTCCCCCCGCATGTGTTTCTCTCTGCCAGGTAACAGAGTTGAACTCAGAAGTTGTATTTGCAGCAGGGATCAAAAACCATCAGTCCCATGGGAAGAGGCAACACAGGTTCTGCAAGCGTGCTCGAGGCAAAGGGCAGCAATATATGCTGGAAAATCTGAGGCCTTGCCCCCCGCGGCTGCAGCGCGGAATGAGCACCCTGCCCTTCCAGCAGCGCAGCCCTACGACAGGATCACCCACGCAAGCTCAACTGAAGCACCAGAACAAAGTCACTGCCAGCCCGTGGAAACTCTGCAGATAGAAGAGCAGCAGTAGCCTTAATCCCTACCCTGGCGCCAATCCCAGTGTTGGAGCCTCCAAAAAAACTCACATTCGTGTGCGGAAGGTCAAGAGAGAGGAATGTGACTTGTCAGGAAGAGCTCCGGAGGACATCTGACATAACAGCAGAGAAGATGAAATTAAATGCGCCAAGGTAAAAGAAGTGAAAAAAGCAGCAACAACAGATTATTAAACAAGCTTCAAAATTCTCTTGTGATCGTTCAGTCCCTGCCTCGCATAAACTCTTAGCGTACTAATCACCATTTATATTCCAGAGGGGTACGGAGCTTGAGAAGTACAATTCCCAGGTTTAAAATGCCGGCTTGCTTGCATATTTTAAGAAGTATTCTCTACAGCACATCTTTCTAATTTATTCAGACTATTCTCTGGAATTTTAATGGATAGGAATTAAGGCAATATTGGAAGAGCCCTCCCTGTAGAAAACAGGTGTATAATTGATCTAATACTGCAAGATACTTCTAAACATAAGAAACAGAGAACAATCAAGGTGAGGGCACTTAAAAAATGAATACCCAACAAGAAAAACACTTTTCAGTTAAAATACACCCTAAACGTGGGAAAACCTCTGTCTTAAGTTACCTTTACAAATAAGATTTAAATGGTTTAATATAATAATATATGCAGAAGAGATTTGTCTGGGTGATCAAAGCACTGGAATACAGACATGTTATCCTCAACTTTGTCCCTTTGTTCCCATAGCCTGGCATGTTCCCTACAAATAGCCCTGTTGATTAATTACTCCGTTCTTTAGCGAAGGGGCCAAATTATAGGACACGTCATGCCAAAGTTTTTTCCTTTCTTTCTTTTTTATTTTTTTTAACTTGGGTTTGAGATTAGTCAAGACATGCAACAGCCAAACATCTGATATTTATACGCCAATTGAAAGGCTGTAATTGACCGCAGCGGGTGACCGCTGCTGTGTTCGAAGGCTGTTTATAGCTCTCATAACTTTGTTGGGTCCAATCTGCTTTTCACCCATACAGATAAAAGGGATTCTTCTTCTCAGGCCCCTCACTCTTACAGTTTTCTACCTTCAGCTGCTTTCCCTCAAAATTAATTTTTAAGAGTCACTAAAAAAATGCCTTAAAAAACACTGGGGCCTGATACGCTGCTTCACCTGTTCTTTCATTTTTCTCCTTCCCTCTCTCACAGCTGAGCGGGAAGCAGGCACCAAACCCTGGGATTTGTGCCTGTGCTCCAAGCCATTGGAGCATCGCGACCCCACCAAAAAGTGACCCCCTCTCAGTACAGAGATGTCTATAGAGGGGGAAAAGCCCCTGTTTACTTTAGAACCTGCTCGTGGCCAAATGGAAACACAAAGATAATATTGCAAAAATTAGTATAAATGCTCCACTGGACAATATGATCCAAATTATCTCTGCTCAGGCATCCAGCAAGACCTAATACAAATGCATTTGTTTTGACTACAAATAAAAATGCCATAGAGATGATAAAACTTTCCCCCCACACACACACATTATAGCACTAATATTTCTTCTTTTGGAAAGACTGCCTGTTTTTCTGTATACATATTTATATTCTGGATAGAGGCTAGGAGGTTTTGCTGCTATTGTTATTTTTCTTTAAAGGCTCTCCTCTCAGGAGAAAATAATTTAAAGCATCTTTGACTTCCCTTTATTTTCAAGCAAATGTAAATATCTGAGGAAAATAGCTTATATTCCTACTGCAAGGAATACTGGATTCCATTAAATTTGTAGAAATTAAGGGTGCAGGACAGATACCAGACAAACTGCTTTACAAAATAGGCTGAAAATCATACCTAGGTCTAAACAGTCTCCAAAATGTTGTACTGCAAACTGCTCCAGCGAACGCCAACTTTCCGTAGCAGGACTACATTTAGGAATGGGAATTCATGGGATCCTGACACCCATTTGATTTCTTCCACAGTGGCATGCGACTAACACATCTTCAAGTCCAATATCCTGCTCTCAAAAAAATCATGTGAACTTCAAGAGAGACCACAACACATCCAGATTAAAATTCCTCTTCAAAAATCACACATACCAAAGTATTTTCCAGCACTATAGAGCAAGCTTGAGATCTACAGCATGATACCTTTGGGAAAGAAATAAAAAGAACAAAAAGGCTGCCAAGTATGTTTGCAACAACCATACCCTTCATTGGGCGAGGATTGAACACCTGACATTCCCACATGCAGCAAAATTAGTTCCTGACCCTATGTTTAGTAGAGAATTATGAGACCCACGATCCACCATCCATGGCCCACAACAGATTTTGAAATACAGCATCATACAGCATCCCAGCGCAGACACTCAGGAGCTGGTAAACTCAAAGTGACAAAAACCTTCATGTATATCTTCAAACTTGAGAAGAAACCCATTGCCCTCTGCTGTTCGAGGCAACCTGCACTGTGGCGCCTTGGCTCAATATGTCAACCTGTCAGGCAAGGCAGATGGAAAAGATCTTCATTTCTCTTTACAGAAATGAAACTGTGGGGGAGAAAAAGAAACTTTAATGCTAATTTCATCAACCAGTGCTCTTTCAGTTGACTGAAGACCTGGAAAGTATTCAAGGCAAGGAGTGCTCACTGTCTTCTTTCCACACATTCCAACACAATTAAGTAACAGGGAGTGCCTTCGCATGGAGAAAATGCAAAGTGTTTGAGAAAGCTAGAAGGTGACATAAAATTTCCAGAATTAAAGCCTTAGAGCAGACAAAGTAGCCCAAATGAGTAGAACAGGGCAAGACACTGAGACATTCATAAGTATTGCCAGCTTTTCATTTAGCCATTTCATAGATGTAAGAAAAGTAAGTCACAAAAAGCTTAGTAACAAATTCAAGGTGCAATAAAAAGTGTTAAGAGAAAACCAGAAAGAGAACATAGCGCCTCTAGTAATGCAGTATAACCACAAGAGATCACCCTTTCTCTCCTAGAAAAAAAAAAATCAGCAGAAGAGCTAGTAGAAAATGCTTAAAAATGAAAGAACTAGGAGCCTAAGAAATCTGCCAAGAAAATGATCAACAGCAGCGACCACTGATAAATGAAAAACAGAAGTTGAAGAAACTCCATAGATTTTGGTTTTTTACCTGCAGGAACTTCACTTCCAGAACAACTGCAGAGAACAGTCATGTGAGCTGCACAAGTCTAGCTGTTTATTGCATTTGGCCACGTTTGGAGGTTTTGTCCTAGCAGTTTTGTCTCTGGCTCCTTGCAATTGGAAATTTTAGTAACTGTTTGTATATCTGCAGTCCTTTTTTTTTTTTTTCAAAAGATGTATGATTGTTTTCAGGGCAGTATCCCAGCTGAGTAGGATTAGATTTCATCAAGAGCCAGAATGGATGATGATCATCCAAAGCACAGTACCTCTGTGAGATATTAGAACAGATGTTATAGGACAACAAGATAACAGAATTATATTAGAAAGCGCTGTGATGACATCTTTTCCTGTAAGGAGTTTGTTAGTATAGCACTTTCTACTTAATTGGGACATTCTCCTTATTAAGATCCTTCAAAGGCAATCGGTTTAGCCTAATGATAATGAGTGGCAATCACTGCTGCTTAAAGTGGCCAAGGAGTAACAACAATTCAGCTAAATTAGGATATATTCAGCTAGTAGCAAGTAGTTAAGTGGCATACAGCCAAGCGGAACACAGGATGAATTTGATTGTTTAAAATGGAAAACAAAGAAATACCAGAAGATTAGACCACACAGATGCTGCTAAATATAGAAACTAAACTCTCAAACCAAAAGTTGCAGCTACGCATCCATGTTTTTGTATTAGAATACATACAGAGCAAAATCTCGGTCCCACAAAAATCAACCACAAAACTACAAAATCCTCGAAACAATAACAACAACATATTACTAAACGGTCAACACGGAGCAAGCTGGTCTACAAACCAGAGACATAATGGAGAGCCATTTCCCCATGTTGGTCCTTGGAC